CATTTTTAATTTTACACAATTATTACTTAACGTATTAAAAAACGCACAATTTTGCAATTTTTAAAATGAAACTTCTTTACAGAAAGTCCAAAAAAAAAAAAAGATTATCGGGCATCATAGTTGGCCGTCACGTTCGGATTCTATTGTTTTATTAGGTATACGGTCAAAATTCTATTGTTATTCCGGAATGGAAAATTATCTGATTAAGAACAACTTTTGGACCAGTACTTTGGATGTTATTCTCATTTATATAACTAGGCTTGACAAAGAGTACACGGCTGGTTAATGACTAGTGATAAAAATAGCAGCACCTCACCATCAGTCATTACTTTTAGCTTCGATGCAAAGCTGAGAAGGTGTTAATTTCACTATGATGGGTTTTTTTTGTGTTTGTTGCAACTTTTTCTCAGCTCACACCGAACCGATTTCTTTCAACGATACGTCAAATATAAACGTCATTAACTTAACTTTTGAAAGTATTCCAGAAATACTGACACTTTTATATATATATATCTTAAATTATAACTAATGTAATATACTTTATTGTAGAAAAAAAAAATTCTAACTTTATTTTGTCTTTATGGTGAAAATGGGTACCGTATGCTATTTTTGTGTCAAAATTTTCGATTTTATTTTTTATTTTACTTAAAATACCTTACAAAAGTTTTGGAGTTAGAAAAATTGTTTAAATCATTTGATTTTTATCTCATTTAGATTCAATAACTTAAATAAATATCAAGGACCCCATCACTATAGGTCCCTTCTTGTTTAAAGAAATTTCTTATTCATATTTAAGTTTTTTTATTATGTGATTTTTTTTATGTAACGCATTTATTTTTTTAGCTTTCACTTGATCAACTTTTATTAACGATACATCGAATTATCACAACTATTATCTAGTTCAAAAATTTACTTAGCTCACATTCTCCATATAAACATTTAAAAGGAAGAAGCAAAAATTGAAAAAGTTAGGCAAGGGTGTATCTATCACCTAATTTATTCAATCTGAATATTCAAAATTTATTAGAAGAATTAAGGGAAGAAAGTATTGGAGGAATAAAAATTAATGGTATGCAGATTTTTTATGGATTTATCTTAAAAATACGTATTTAAAATTATTAGATGCAATGCGCAACAGAAAAATGGACACAAAATTAAAGCGCACGTGCTATAATTAAAACTATTTTAGTGAATAATTAGAAAACAAAATTAGAAACAATGTGTAAATTATTTAAAAATTAATCATAAAAACAAAAATCAATCTGTGAAAAATAATAGAGTACAAAATATTGCTTACAGAACAATAAGATTCTATAGGTAAAACTTTTTAGTTTTTAATATTATTGATTTTAATAGTTAGAACTTTAAAAAAAAATTAAATAAATATTGCAAGCTTAGTAACTTTGAAAGTAATAATATCAACATTCTAAGTCAAGTACTAAATTAATTACATAATGAATTATTTATGTAGAAAAGTAGTAGTTAATCTAGTAACATATGTCCGGTGTAAAAAAGAGTATGTGATATTTTCCTAACACGACAACCTCATAATATTATGTTTGTTAAAAAAAAATTAAACCGCAGGAATTAAAAACTCTCCATAAAAAATGTAGCACAATAGTTATTATAAATAATAATTTCTCAAATTGATTAATTTTTATAGAAAGTTATAAAGAATTAAAAAATTAAAAAGTCAATTTGAAAATATCTGACATAGAACCTTTAAATTTTCATGCCGCAAAATAATAAAAACGCGTTAAAATCATTTTGACGAATAACAACGTACAATTGGTTATAATTGACTAAAATATTTAATTTGATAACACACATGTTTTTCAACAACTATCTACTTTCACTTGTAAACGTGAAGAAAATGCAATCGTAAATCATATTTTTATTGATGTTTAATAATTCCAATATCAATTTAACAATATTTATTGATCGTTTCATGCTCAAATTTAAATTTCTTAAGTTAGGGTAGATTTCTACCCTTTTGCATTAGGGTTGAACTTTAATTTTAATCGTAAAAGATGCATTTAATTATTCAATTAGTCTCTAAAAAAAAAATTATTAAAAAAATCAATAGCGGCTCTAAAAAATCGGTGTTTGCGAACTTATTGAACATTCTGAATGTATCGTAATACAATTTAGGGTATTTATCAATGTTGACACGGTACTGTGTTTCATTCAGCCCTACATCACATCATCAACCTTAAGTATAATGTATTGGTATCTGAATCATAAGAGCATGGTGGCCTAGTGGTAAGGTTTGTATCTATGAGGTCTTGTGTAGCGAATTTTAATCCTTTACCATGCCTCTTTTTTACACGATTTCCGGTACACTTTCTATAACCGGTCGTGTTAATAATTTAAAATCAAACCATGTTATTCTAAGACGTAGTCTTAAAGTGATTGCAAAAAATAATGTTTTTATTATAGTTTTGACAAATAATAAAATATATCATCTGTATTATTTTGTCAAAACTATATTAAGTGTTAAATGCACTTGTTTAAACATTTTTTTTTTTCATACGCAATATTATTAAAATTTATGTAGAAATAAAATTTACAAATCTAGAATGTAAAATTTATTTATAACATGTTTTTACATTACTAATAAAGAATTTTCTTAAATTTTATAGGGTACGAACGATATTTGGTTTTATTGTAATTCAAATAAATAGAATATTATTAGTTGTACTAAAACGAGTTTTGTTTGGGCTACTATATATTAATTAAAATAATGCGTCTCTCGGATATGAATATGAGTGTTTTTTTAAAGACGATGTAAATGATAGAAAATATAGTGAAATTTATACACAGCGTTTAGTAAGAGAGTAAACGGGTTTTTATTGTTCTCATTGTAACAATTGACTTACTTACTGAATACTCTTTATATTAATATAAAAAATGTTGTGATAAATTATCACAATCTAACAAATAACGACGTGTGTATGCTTAGCAGCAAATTAAATGGACAAAAATCACTAAACTCAAACAACCAATAACAGAAGAATGGTTCATTAAATAAAAAAAAAATTTCTATCATATAATTAAGCTAAATGTATTTTGATTTTTAGTTTTTAGAGTTATAATAATTAAAGGGTTTCCGTCAAATAAAATTAAAGTTTAAGATTTTCATCCCTAAAGGGATGAAAAAAAAATTGTTTAATTATGTATTATTGAAAAGTTTTTTAAATCAAACAATATTTTCTTTACGAAAATTTTTAATTTTAAATAGTTTTCAAAAAAGACTATTATTTTTAATGAATTACTCTGTATAATTTTTTTAAAAGACATAAAAAAGTTGAATTTTATCAACTTTTAAATATTAATAATACTTATTATTAAGGTCAGCATCAAGTTTCAAAAGTATTATACTTATGTGTATCTGATATCGAATAATTTTTTTGCCAAATATGCGTTGATATTACTAGGGATACAAGGCTTTATTCATTAATTGTTTTCTTGTTACAATAGTTGTAAAAAAACTATATATATATATTATGTATGTTTTAATCACCCAGAAACTGTTTTCTATTACTGTAATGAAATAACACTAAAAATATAAAATAATCATAATAGTATTAAAACCTCGAAATATGCAACATAAAATTTCGTATTTAACTTTTTAGTTTTCTGAAACAAATTTATAACTTTCATATACGTAATCTGTAAATTTAAGCTATAATACCAATAGGTATTCTTAGGACATTTAAAAAAAAAAATAATGGGAATGCTAAAAATTCTAAGCCTTGAACATTTGTAATAATTATTTTATAATCCTAACTGTAAAAAACAAAAATATTCACTAGATGTAAAATTATATGATTTGTCGAAAATACTGAGACATTTGTTTAATATAAAATAAAACAAAAAAGTAAAAGTAAGTTTATTTGTATCAAACTTCTTGTATTAATAATTATAATTATTTCAAAAATAATGATAATTATCATTATTTTTGAAATATATATTTTTGAATAAAACCTAATTATATAATAAAATATGACAGTTACCTTCGGTATTCAAGTTTTTATTTTTCTTTTTTTAATAGTAATCATGAAAGTTAAAATATAATATTTTTATGATTATCAATTAATAGTTTTGATTCGTTTTACATTTAACTATAAATGCTACACAAGTATTTCTTAAGCAGCTTTTTCATGTCATTTTTTTTTTTACTGTAAAATAGGTTATAAGCAATTTTTTTTCAAATTGCAGTTTTTAATATTATACGTGTAAAAAATAGCTACATCTTAGCTCCCCATAAAGGAGTTAAACTATAACATATAATATTTACCAAATTTATCCAATTAACAATAAAAATACAATATTAGAAATACGGCTGAAATCTTAAACAAATAAGATTTCACTTATGATCGTCAAATGATTTGGAGACAAGTTTTACTGCCAATATCATAAAGTTATGATATCATTCAATTATGCCAAGAGATATTTTTTTCTTTGGAAATGACATATCAATATTTAAAAATAAACTTTCTGAATAGATGTTGATAATGAATAACATAAGTACCAGAGATATTTGCAGGCTTTACAATGGAGGGACTAAAGAAATTTTTTTTCAATAATTTCTACATTAACTAACCCTGTAGTTATATACATACACATTCATGTATATGTATATTATAGTCTTATAATAATTATAAATATCATGTCATTGGGAGATGCTGTAACTTTTTAACTACCCCTTGTGTACGCTACTTAAAGTAACTAAATTGTGTTCCTTATCATTGAATTTGTTTAAAATTTGGAGTTAAAATATTTCATTTTATAAGATAATGAATAATCGATTCAGTAAACAATGGCTTATACTGTATATATCAAAAAATATATATTCTAATTTAATGTTTTTTCTGATTCTTTAAAAACATTAAATTATTTTTATTAGTTCAACCAAGTTAATATATAAATCTTAAATAAAATATCTATCATTATTACTCATCTTGTATTTAATTAAATGAGCGTCGTAAACACATTATTTTTAAAATAACTTTGTGTAACATTTGTTGTTTAACTCATATATAAACAGTACAATAATTTATCAAAAAACACATTAAAGTTGTACAGAAAAATAATAATAACACGTCAAAATTCAAATAGTAAAACTAATAAGTAATTATAAAAATTATATTCATTTTATTTTAAACTTAATTAGATAACTAAGATTTTCAAAACTTAGTTACGCGCTTATTGTAATCTAGTTTATAGTATTAAAAACTATAAGCAATAAATAAAGCAAAACTATAAAACTATACATATATAAATTTAACTATGATTAGAAAAAATATAACGAATAAAATTGTTTTGATAATAATTATTTAATTAATAATAAAGCTATTCATATTTTTTAATTAAATTATATTTAACTTATACATTTTTTGATTCAGTAGTCAGTTTAAGCACAAATAAATTTATTATGTACCTACTCATTTCACTTTTGAGCCACTATGAGCAAAAAATTCTAAATTATAAAAATTCAAAAAAATATTTGACTTATCATTTATTTTTACATTTTGTGTTCTAAGTTATAAGTTTTATGAATAAAAATATAATTGGGTGTACTGAGAAATTTTAAACTTGACTTATTAGATTAAACAAGGGCTACTTGATTTTAACTGTATTTTCACTTATGAGGCGGCTAACAATTATTATTTCTAGATTTATGAATGTTACAATTTAATAATAAAAATATTAAGGAATTAATAAAAAAAAATGAGTAATTATATATTGTACGTTAAAAGTTTCATTGTATAAAAAAGTTATATAATCATTCCAGTTTCGTTTGCAGTATTTTTCAATAAAACAAGTTTAATACTCAGCTAACAATTGACCAACTTTACGCATAAAATATCATCGAAAATATTAGAGCTAATCATTATTTAATTTTTCTTACAATAATAGTCTTTTGTTGTGCTGCTTTACAGTAAAAATTAATTTTTAGCTACCATCCCTTTACCCTAAACTCGTATCAACTTTTGATAACCAAATGGTCTTATTGAGCAATTATAATATTTCTTTTATATCATCAAATTTATTCAATTGAATAAATATTTTTGTATTATTCGTTTTTTAACGAATTAAAGTAACCTAACTAGAACGTTAGCGTTCTTTAAATTTATATCAAACTTAATTTTTTAAATTAACTTTGAGACTAAGAAAGAAAAACGACCCCTTATTTTGTCTATACTTAATTGGCTCTTTTAAGTAAAAAATTATACAAAAAATTTACAATTTTTTCATTTTCTTATAACTTAAAAAAAAATACACAACTCTCAATTGTAATTTTTTGTTAGTACCGAAAACAGTGTTCTTTCTTCGAATTTTAAACAAAACAACTCCCGACAATATCTTTTTTCAGTATTTGGCAACGCAAATTTGTACATTTATTACATTTAAATCTCAAGGGCGGATCCAGAATTTAAAAAAAGAGGGAAGGCAATAAGTTTTTAGACGCCAAAACCAATTTTATCATTCATAATACTTTTTTCAAGTAAGCAAAGATGGTCAAAAAATGGGTCCCGTGTCCCTTGCGTTCTCCCTACGTGTCCCATTAAAAATATTCGGATCTTCTTATATTATCATTATATTAATATTAATTAAAATTATATATGATATTTATATTTTAACACATGAGAAGAACACCGCTAAGCGCTTATTTAAAATTTTAAACTATAATTAAGATATTGTTATAAAAGCCCTCNTGATTTTTAGTTTTGCTCCATAATAAATGATTCAACTTGAAAATTCAAGGGATTATAAATGAACATTTTTTTTCTTACCAAACTCTTGAACTTTATAAATAAAAATTTTAAATATTTATTTCAAATGATAAATTTAATTCTGTTTTAGGTGTCAACAATGAGAGTTGTAACAATTATTATTTTATTAATCGGTAATATAAATTTTTTTTGTACTAAAAAAAATATTTTACCCATTTGTCAAAGATATTTTTATAACTCAACTTTTGTGATTTTAAAAAATGATTAATAAAAATAATTGTTTACTTCTAAATAAATGTAGTAACTTATAATTAATTATAAATTAAAGGTATTTTTATTATATATTAATATTTTAATAGATATGATCATTTACATAGAGCATAAAAATATATTGAAATATTTACGATTTTAGTAATATCAAGACGAAAAATTTGTGTTCATTAAGGAGAGCTAAAAAAAATAAATTTTTTCGATGACTTTTGAAGAATATTCATTATTTCACTCGCATTACAAATGCATAAAAATTATCCAGCAAATTTTTTATAGAAAAACAACAAAAAAAATGTTTTTTTAATTTTTGAAATCTAAAATAATATAATAATAATTTGGCTTATTTTTGGAGACGAACAAAAAAACTGTGTTTTTCTTGCAATATACGGTTTTAAATATTGTTAAAAAAAAATTGCAAGAAAACCCATAATTAAATCATAAGTAATACGAGTGTCAATTAGATCTAAGATGTTCTGTACAAAAATAAAAATAGCTATTATAAAAAAGAATCATTTAAAAAAATTAAGTTTTTCAATAAAAAAATTTGTTATTCTAAAAGAATTTATTTAAGAATTCGTTTCCAGGATTAACTTTTTAATTGAAAATCTTTGAACTTATGTTTTTGATAATTGTAGTAATGACCGTAGTTTATGGAAGACGGGCCNCTTATTTTTGGAGACGAACAAAAAAACTGTGTTTTTCTTGCAATATACGGTTTTAAATATTGTTAAAAAAAAATTGCAAGAAAACCCATAATTAAATCATAAGTAATACGAGTGTCAATTAGATCTAAGATGTTCTGTACAAAAATAAAAATAGCTATTATAAAAAAGAATCATTTAAAAAAATTAAGTTTTTCAATAAAAAAAATTTGTTATTCTAAAAGAATTTATTTAAGAAATCGTTTCCAGGATTAACTTTTTAATTGAAAATCTCTGAACTTATGTTTTTGATAACTGTAGTAATAACCGTAGTTTATGGGAGGCAGGCCAAGTTGACACAGCTTAATTATTTATGAAGAAGTTTAAGTTAGACAAAATCTAATTGTGACATTTTATAAATTATATTTTTAAGTCATCCATGGCATATTTTCTTAATTATTTGTTTTGATCATAAAAAATTTAATTTTAATGATCTTTGAAAACGTATTAATTTGTAAAATTTAACTTCTAATTTAATTTTTAATATCTGAAAATAATTTTTTAATTGGTCTACTGATAATTAGAGAAAAAACGAGTGTAAAAATATTTAAAAAAAATTATTGATTTGTCTACTCCTTGGGTATGTTCATGAATAATTATTAAGTTACTGAGTTATTTCAACTAATTGTAAGCAAATTATTTTATACATAGAAATTATATAAACAAATAATGAAAAATAATAAATTTTCTCCGTTATATTGTTATTCAACAATTTCCGCTATTAGAATAAAACTTAAAATTTTAAATACTTTTCATTAGAAATTTTTTTTTAGCTGTTGTAATAAAAAGGGAATTGTATTTTTTTCACATTAGTTATAACCTTACGCTGTAGAACAACAATATTACATCATTCCTGCAAAAATGGTATAACAAACATATCTGTTCAGTTAAATTATTTTCAAAAATTTAGTCATTGTTTGGATAATATATTTAAAAATATTCTCATAAAAAGTTCACAATTAAAACTATATTTTTTTAATTTCGATGCGAGACTGAGAAGGTATTAATTTTACTATGATTTTAATCACTGTCAGATAACATCTATATATGTCCCATCTATGCCATGTCCACACTGTGCTACCATTTATTTTCTATGCTATTTAAATCTAAGATCATCTTTCTACAATTTTAAACTTGTCCCGTCTNAAATGGTATAACAAACATATCTGTTCAGTTAAATTATTTTCAAAAATTTAGTCATTGTTTGGATAATATATTTAAAAATATTCCCATAAAAAGTTCACAATTAAAACTATATTTTTTTTAATTTCGATGCGAGACTGAGAAGGTATTAATTTTACTATGATTTTAATCACTGTCAGATAACATCTATACATGTCCCATCTATGCCATGTCCACACTGTACTACCATTTATTTTCTATGCTATTTAAATCTAAGATCATCTTTCTACAATTTTAAACTTGCCCCGTCCTCTCCTATTCTTTGAAAAACCTAAAATATGAAAAAAATTGTAATATTTCTTAAAATTCGACATATTTGTTTATAGAATTTTGTAAAATCTTGGTATTTTTACATTTATCACAATTGTAAAACATACCTTACTTTTCGACCTATACTGTAAATAAACTTATCCTGTTTCAATTTTGGAAAGTTGAAACAAAATTTATTTTTAGTATTTTCATCTGTAGACTGAATAAAGTAAATTAATTATGAAAAATAATTTTTTCAAAAAAGTGTATCAAATAACCCCAGTTATCCTTACTAGGGAATGGTATATAGATTTTCAGAATTTTAACTTGGAATGACGTTAAAAGAACATTGTTTTAATATAAAAAGATTATTTTTTCATTATAGCCTTGTGTTTTTGGAGCCATCTATGATGTTTCATAACTCTAATTGATATGAATGCAAAAAATGTGACAAATAACCCTGATCTCCTTTACTAGGAAGGCTTTATGTAGATTTTTAGAGAAATCCATTTCAATCTTTATTTATTGATTACAAGGGAAAATATTCATGATAACAATATTTTGTAAAAAAAATGATTCCGCTTATTTTTAAGTTGGTCTTACTATAATGTTTTATTCGATTTGTATGTCCTATTGAGGACTATTGCAACCCCCCCCCTAAATAGGAGGTTTCTTAACCATGGGTACTCTGTGTAGGTTAGCTCACCTTTTAATTTCAATATAATCAAATATAAAGTTATTATCGTCCGCAAATTATTATTTTTCACGTAGGAGTTGTGACAATTATAATAATAATTTAGTTCTAATTATAACTAAATTATTACCGTAATCACCTTACGGCGCGTTTTATAAATTTTATAATGTCTCGTTGAAATTATTATTACAGTGGTTAACTTTGTAAGCATGCAAAATTGTAAGTAAACATAAATTATTTTTAACTGAGTCACACAGATATTATTAAATTCTATTTTAAATGATGTTAAGAGAATATTGATTTAATTATAAAATTACAAATAATATATAAATATACAGTATTATTCATATAGGAATATATAGAAGACATATTAATAAAAAAGATAACTTATTACAAAATCATATTTTTAATTGTATGTTATTTCAGTATAAAAAAAATATAATAACCATGTATATCACTGAGCTTATGTCTTTTTGGTTTATGAATGATTTTTTTTTGTTTGACACCATCAAAAATTAACTGACCTGAAAATTAATTAACCTGAGACTAACAATAGATATTGAACTGACTTTTTCTCGAAAATAATGTCTTGAGATTTTTAAAATTTTAATAGACAATGAATATTCATATACAGAGTGATTTTTTTATCATAACCCACTCAATTTCTTACAGAGTAATAATAATTTAAACATTTTTTTTGGGGTTACATTTAGTTACACATTATTCTTAAATTATTAACTATGTAATTTTTTTTAAGTTCATCCCTTATGCCTGGCAAGGGTGTCAACTTTGTTTTTTTTAAATGGGCACATATATTTTGAATTTAATAAAATGTTTAAGTTTTTAATTTAACAGTAAATGACATTTGAATTTTTAGTATAACTTTATTTGTTAATGAGATATTAACACTTAAAGTTTCAAATTTTTGAGTAAATATACATGTATAATACACAAGGGATTACAAATAAAGACAGCTAATTGGTTTTTTATGACTTCGATATTAGCAGGTACACAGCATTGTTATTATCAATGGTAGTAAGGAACTTTGTTGTGGATTTATAAATACACTAACTGACAATACAGAAAGTATATCTATTGATAGTCATAATTGATAATAAATAATTCGTGACTGTGACTGCAATGTCATAAAAATCTTTTTAAAATCTGTTAAAAAATTACCCTAAATCTATGTTATAAACAGTTTTTATGTTTAACGTTATGATAAAATAACGTTATTTCAACTTTAACATTTTTTATATCTCATTTTAGCTTCGATCCGAAGCTGAGAAAGGTATTAATTTTATTATGATGTGTTTTTTTTTTTGTGTTTGTTGCAAGTTTTTCTCAGCTCACACATAACCGATTTCTTTCAACCATACGTCAAAATATCATAAATCGTATCTAGTTGAAGATATTGCCCTTAAAAATTGAAAAAATTTCCCTCGTTCCCTGTAATTGGAGAAAATCATCAAAAAAGTTATAAAAGCGGTAATTTTTGACTTTTTTTCTTAAAACTACCACAGCAAAAATAGCATGTTTTTAACTACGACAGCCATTTGCACAAAGATGATGATGAAAGGTCATCGGAAATAATTGTTTTTCCAAACGTATAGTATGTAACATAAGATTTAATTTAAAATATGTTTAAAGGATACAGTATTTCCGAAATATGTTCAGAAATTAAGTTGAAAAAATTAAGTTTTGTAAAAAAGTTGCTATTTTGAATCCCCACTATGAACAGATAAAGGGTTACGTTTTGAAAAAAATTATATCAATGTAATATATTGTTTCCATATAAAAAAAATTATTTGAATCTTTTTATTTTTAATAAGTTATGGAAATTTTTAGAAAAAAATGTGCGAAATTTACCAATTTAAAAAATCATAATTTTTGGGGGATTTCTACCATTTTATGGAGAACGAGGGAAAAATTTTCAATTTTTGAGGGTTATGTTTTCAACTAGATACGATTTTTGATCTTTTGACGTGTCGTTGAAAAAAATCAGTCCAGTGAGGGCTTAAAAAAAGTAGTTGTAGACGAAAAAAAAAATTAAATGAACACATAATAATAAAATTAATACCTTCTCAGCTTCATGTCGAAACTAAAAAAAGACTGTCTGAAACTTCGATAATTTTATCTAATATAATAAATAATGCGACATAAAAAAAAATTAAGAAGATATAAAAACTTTATTAAACACGAAATTACACGAAATAACTTATAAGTGAACGCCTAAAGTGCGACAGGCTTTAATTTTAAATATAACAGATATTTATATTTTTCCCAGAATTACACCCTAACTTAAAATAAATATAAAAATTACATACACTTATTCCTATATAGAGATACTACAAAAAACGAGTAGAAAATAAACTTGATATAAAATAAATAACAATACGTCGTGGTACAACTACACAAAAAAAATGTACCTTAGAGTTATATATACAGAGTTGTATATATGTATATTATAATATATATATACAATTTATTATTTCTGATTTTAGCTTGCCAAAAATGCTCAAAAAATAATACTAACCAAAAAAATAAAAATGATAAACAGCCAAAATGTCAGTGTAAAAATGCTTCAAATACAGATAATAAGGACATTAAGTTTACAAAAGTTAAGTTAAATAATATTCAGTGGAATGTCAAGAAACAAAAAAACCCAATCTTAAAAAAGGATAACAAACTTATAAAAATAGATCAAGATAATGATTTAGGTGATAATATTGACGATTCAGATGACAGCGATAATGATTCAGGCGGTAAAAGTGTTATGACAAATCGTAATATTCAATCGAGTAGTTCAAGTGAGAGCGATTCTGGAGATAGCAAATATATTAAATATGCTGTGATATATTCATCAACAACTAATTCAAATAATTAAAATGATTGAAAAAAATAACTACAGATACATTATTTTTATTATTAAATCAATCATACTTTTCTTTAAGTAATAAAAAATTATTATCGGCTGTATTTTTATCATACATACACCACTCATTATTTATTAGTCATAAAATCTAATGTATACAATTTATGTGAATTTTCTACACTTTTACAAGAAATAGCAACAATAAAACTCTATGGAACATTATGTAATAATTAAATAAATAAACTGTAATAATTAATAGATCAATTAATAAAGAGATAACGGTCAAGTTAGTGACACTTATTGTATATTATAATGATTTAAGTTTCCTCTAAAGGCCCAGAAAAACACTAATAACATTCTTATTTTTACAATATATTAAACAAAGAAAAGCGAAATTTATTTATTTCAAAATATATCCTAAACATCAGAAATGTAAATACTAATGTTTGACTATATATCTACATGGTTTAAAGTATTTTGAGTATATCAATTAAGAAATAATAATAAAAAATCAAGTGATTATTAAAAATAAAATATTAATTAGATTAAAATAATCATTAGTGTTTATACAGAGTCAATTAGCAGAGTTAGATATTTGATTTGTATATATTTCAGGTATCAAGATAAAGGTTCACTTAAAATAATAATTATGTTCAGAAAATTTATTTTGATATTTTTTATATACGTAATATGTACTAAGGAGTATGTTATACTCCCTTAAAAAATTACAAACCCTTCATATACATAAGTACCCAACCACTTATGTCTTCAAAAAAAAAGCATATAATAAAAAATTAATTAAAAAAATATCCACACTATCAATTTTTGACTTAAAATTTTGAAACTAAAAATTTGTATTCTACAGTAAAAATAAAACTATTTTGATATACTAATCATACTATTTGATCAAAAATTAAATAAGAGAGGCCGTTTTTTTTGTTTTTTGGTGTAATTTTGTTTAAAAAAAACCTCATTAAGCGACCAGTAAACATTTTTTTAAAAATTTAAAATCTTCACAAAATGCCTATTTTAATGTATATAATAAAGCTAAAATGATTCTCATTAAAATTTCAAAAATTGACTTTTTTTAATTCACCTTAGTGTACAGTTTATGGTATTTCTATGAACCCGTAGCATTTATCGACATACAACATAATATGACCCCTCTGTATATGAAAAAATTTTTGTTATGATTCGTTTAGTTTCTTAAAATATTTTATTTATTTCTTAATGTTTCATATAGTTTTTTGTAATTTAAACTCAATAATCAAATTAACTAATTAAATTCATTAATAATTCACAAATATTAAAAAATAGTTGAAAAACTACATAACTTACTTATAAAACCAGTAAGTAATATAACAGACTATTTAAATGAAAATTCCGAATCTCCTATAATTTGTTTTGATGAATTATTTTTAACTGATAACCATAATAAAATTATACACGAAACAAATTTCAAGCATAAAAGTCATCGATTTCACATTATTTTAAGTATTTGTTATGCAATAGAGCTTAATCCTTTATTTTTTACGTAATTCAAATAAAAAGTTCAGATGGTACACAAGAACTAACAAATATTTTAAATAAATTTAACGAATATTTTATAAAGGTGTCAATTTCACTATTATATTTTTCATAATTATTAAATACTAGTTAACCAAACCAACCCGAAGTTAAGTTAACAAATGATATTCACGGAGCTCTCTTAAAAAGTTTAAAAAATATAAGGTGTTACATCTTAAGCGATGTTATTTTCGTATAAATTTTATATTTCTGAATAACATTTTATATTATTATATTTTGTAAATTTGATTAATCTAAAAATTGAATTAGTTAATTATAAAATAATGATAAAAATGAATAATAAAATACTATTACAAGTTTGCAATTATAAGTTATAACCAGTTGATAATGTTTAAAAAATTGTATTACGTCAAAATTTCAAAAAAATACTAAGAAATTCTATTAATCTATTTCTTTGTAATGAATTATTGTGAAGTAATTGATACTTAAGATTAATGTTCATTTGAACTTCTAATAGGATAATGTAACATAACAAATCAAAATTAGTCATTAGGAAAGACTGGGTACAATTTTTATGAAATTATCTATTTTCATTAGGATCATTACTTTTTTTGTTTGACTACATTTTTAATATATCATGTAATATGTTCCCATTATATATGTATAAGTATTTATCTTTAATTTTCACAAATTGTTGAATAAATGAAAAAAAAAGACTAAGTGTTACAACTATATCACAGAGGGGTATAATTGTGTAATAATACAAAAATGAAATTAAAGCGACTAGGTGGTATCGGAGTATGTAGACTCCAAGGGTTTAAATAATAAAGACAAGTACATATAAAAAGATATAATTAAGGTTCCTCTTATAGAGATATTATGAATGACCCAACTGGTAAGTAGCTGTAATAATGCACTGAAGCATCGAAGAGACAGTGGGGATCTTACGAATACCATGTAATGTGATTATGTATAAGATACGAACTAGTCAGTAATAATTAATTGAAGTTTAAAGATTAATAATTTGATCNAGTCAGTAATAATTAATTGAAGTTTAAAGATTAATAATTTGATCTATTACTTTATCGTTTTTTTTTCTTAGAATATAAATTCTAAAAATTTGGGTAATAAGATAATATAAGTATTAACTCTTATTGCTTTGAAATCTTACCTGATGATTTTTCTTTGTTCTTATAATAACTTTTAATAGTATCAAGTAATAATAAAATAACACAAATTCAAGTTTTTAAGTTTATAAATTAACACGTGAGAATTTCGACAATGATGATTACGAACTTTACGTATTGATGTCGAGAGCGCGATTATATCAGTTTTTTGAATATCTGGAGACAGACTCTCTCTAGCCTTCAGCACTGACTGAGAGCCATTAATCTGCCTTTTATAGTATTTTGCATCCCCGAAAAATCATCATTGTGTCATTCTTGTAATGTTATCGTTTATTAATAAGTAAGCATAAAATATGAAATATATAAATTAATATATAAAAGAAATACATGTGAATAATATACAAATCATTTTTATATAACGTTAATATAGTGTGTTTTTACATTTAAGATTAGGGTTGACACATTGTGTTTTACTATTAATATAAGAGTAATAAGAGCTGACAAGTATAGTTTATAAATTTCTTAAAGAGTGATTTTTAAAGATGAATAACAATTGACTTATGACTGAATCATATGTAATATAATATAATTAAACAACAGTATGCGTTTGTTAAATATTTCTCCAAGTTATTTATTTAAATTATTTGTTTAAAAACAATCATGTTATTCTAAGCATATGAATATAATTTATAAATAAAAGTGTTAATAATCTTAAATGAACGTCCATTATTATGGACACAAACAAAGCAGTCCACTTTTATTCCATATTATGATAGTGACAAGTATATTGCAACAATTGGAACAAGACCGGGTACAAATATAACATGTGTTTTTTTAATTACTTACAAATTATTTAATTGTTTAATCCTCTCTTATTAATCAAATAATAAAAATCATAGCATAATTACAATATTTTAAGCAGTATAGGTACTTTTAACTTAAAAACTATTTTATTATGTCTAATTATTCTAATCATCACAGTTATTACATATGAAGATTCTAGTTCACAAAGGGTCTTCATGTATAGAAAGCTGTTAATTTTTGTGAGGTACAAACTTCGTATGACCATAATTTAAATCTTTGGCTTTGAATCCATGGTTCTTCACTCTTACTCTTAGAATACAATTCAGCACAAATTATACAAAAAAATATCCTCTTCATCATTACTATTATTAACTAAAGTCTTCTTTTTGTTTTTTATTTCTCGCTTCTGTATTGAACAGTTTTCTTTTAATATTTTAATTTTTTCTTGTTCAATTTTTTTGGGTGTATCATTTAATATTAATATTGTCATGATAAAAACTAAAAAAATCATTTAATATTGTAGTTTTTCCTTTGTTTCTGTCACGTTTTGTCATTTTTTAAGCAGTTGTGCTTGGGGATAAGGTCTAACCATTTCAGGAGAAATTTTCCTTAATAGTTGCTATTCTACACTTTTTGTATTTATACTAGGTAGTCCATTATCATTATCATTACTTGTAGTATTTAACATAATATCTGTAACAATGCTTAGCATAAATATTATACAATAAGTAGGTATATTAATAAAATTTCAATCAATATTTAATAAAACAATTGTCCTACAATCAACTGTTACATTTGTCCCCATTCAATTTGGTTCTGTTATATTAAGTACTAAAATATCGGCATATAATTTTCAAAATAAACCGGATTTAGATAATTTGTGCTGTAAAATATCATATAAGGCGGAAGTCAAATTGATGATATGACAAAAATTCTTCATCACTTTTTTTTTAAATAGCAATTTGTTATAACTTTATTTGACCTATTAAGTTTTTTATCATGAAAGTTATTACCCACCAATAAATTTACTAGAACAAGACCCATTTCATATGCTTTATGACAATTAACTTTATCGTTACCAGATATCCCGGTGGCAATTGACATAATACAATTGTTGTTTGAGAATGTACAATTTAGCGTTTGGTTGAGTTTAAAAAATCTAGTGTCAAATCAATTACCTACTCTCTCTTTGTTGTATCTTAATATACGCCACACTATAATGATACTATAAATAAATAAACTCACACATACACACATATGCATTTGTAATATTGTGTCTAATATAAGTATAACATGATAAAATGTAACAGTAAAATGGAAAAAATGCAAAATAAATTTTAGTACTCATTTTAAATGTAATGTACCTCGAAAAATATTTATTTAAATGAAAAAATAAAAAGATCCTTTTTTTATTTAAAATTGTCTTTTAAGGAACTTTTGTACGAAACTTTCTTTTGTAAATTAAATATTTTTTGAGAAAATTAAAAAGCTCATATTTTTTAACTTTTGCAAGGCTGTAAAAAAAAGCTCAAGTAAATCGATAGGACTTTTAGTATGTCATTATACATATCTTAATTCAACTTTAAAAAAAAAAAAAATTTGGTTGGGAATTTTTTCAGCCATTTCTCCTTTGTTGACTGTCCTAATAGCCAAAACAAATATTTAGCAATCAAATAAAATCAATGATTAAAAATCTATTCAACTCATGACCAATCATTCAATAAATTTAATTTTGTCGGTATTAGTGAAATTACCTCTAAAGGCAAAATTTTTACGCAAGTAGGACCAATCAGTTGATGTGGAGATTGTTACTCGGAGCAGTTTTAAATAATAAAGGTATAGAGATTAACGTTCATAAAATAAAAAAATGATTAGGCATTTTTTGTCTGATAATCCACTTTATTTAAAAAATTAAAAACCTAGCGGCCGTAACAAATTATATTGATCAGGCTTAATTATTATATCAGAAAGCAATAATATTAATTCTATTTTACATTTTTTAAAACCTAAAAAATCGTTTGCAATACTTAATTTTCAAATTATCATTGGACATTCTTAGTTTACAATTCAAATATAAAATCAGTTCTCACATTTCGCAGTATTATTCAAATTAACGAATACAACAATTTAGCTATAAGAAAAAATATTATCCAAAATAGAATAATTAAACGTGATTTTACTGTCTCTCTAATTTTCAAACGGGAATGCAAATCTATATCTCGCAGCGATTAACAAGATATAGGAAAAAAAATCTTCAATGGTTCTCACTAGTGATGGGAAATTTCGAGTAGTAGCTATCGAACTATTCGAATAGTAAGAATATTTGATAGTTATCCAATCCTTTCGGTAGTTATATTCGAATATGTTTAAAACTCCTCAATAGTTATATTCGAATATTTTTATATTTTATATTATACAATGTGTACTGTATAAATACAGTGTGATTTATTATGTATACTAACCTCCATTTTTTCATTAAACAATGATTTTTTTAAGGTCACGGTATTATTGGCCTAAAATGAAAGAAATTGAATTGTATGTTCTTTCATGCTTAGATTATCAGAAACATAAACTTTTTAAACAACCCGGACCGACAAAAATACGAATGTACCTACTAGAAAAAGAAAAAATTATATAAAAAATTTATTTGGATTATATTGGGCTACTTCGTAATTCGAAATCTAATAAATATATTCTACTAATGACAGACAGAATTAGTACCTAAATTTTGCGTAGCAAAAGCGTGAGCAAATGCAAATATGCGTAGTACGGTAATACTATAGTAACACTACTGTACAAAACAACACCACCAAAAACATAATTATTATCACAACTGTAATTGTCAGTTTCCGACATATTCTGGGCATTTGCTTGAATTAAAAATAAGTATAATTTAAAAAGTTTTATTTGTTTTTACTTAATGATATACTAGTCTGACAACTAGTAACATATTTAATTCGATGGTATTTTTTACCCATCAGGTTTAAAGAGAGGGGCAAGGCCAGTTTTGCACACCTTTGGACAATTGTTCAGTCCTATAAAACGTAAATACATGAGACATTGTTGACAGTTTATATCATAGGAATCGAATAAAGATGTTGTCTAATCATTTTATGAGTTATTTATCAGCCTTAACGGCAACATCAGTCGTAGGAAATTATTGTATGTCTTTTTACCAATTAAAAATTGATAGTTAACCAAAGTATTTATTTTTTATGCTTTTTTTTAGCTGATTTAAAGTTAGACTGGTGGCAAAAAAGCGTTATTTACCAAGTTTATCCTCGATCTTTTAAGGATAGTGATGAAGATGGAATAGGAGATTTAAAAGGTTAATTTTTTAATAAATTTACCTTTTGAACATTTATAATATATATTGCATCAAATAACATATTTACTGTTAAGACATATCAATTCACATTAAATGTACTAACATAGAATATCCTTATTTATTTAACATAAGTCACATGAAAAACATTAATTAAATAAATAATTAACAAGTTCTTTTTTTAACTACAAGGTATTGAAGAAATGGCTGAATACTTCCAATACACTGGTATTGGGACAATATGGTTATCTCCCATATTCAAATCACCCATGGCAGATTTTGGTTATGATATTTCAGATTTTAATGATATAGATGAAACTTTTGGCACAATGGATGATTTTAAAAATTTGCTAAACAAATTAAAGTTGTTAGGTGAGTTCTTAAGCTTACACACTTTAAAAAAGTATAAATTTTAGCACATTATAACTGAATCTAATTTGTCGTATAGGAGTTCGTCTATTGTTAGATTTTGTGCCTAATCATTCTAGTGATGAACATGAGTGGTTTAAAAAATCAATAAAAAGAATTGATCCATACACGAATTATTATATTTGGAAAGATGGAAAAGCTGATGAAAATGGTAATAGAATTCCACCGAATAATTGGGTGTGTATTAGATATACATCATAATATTATCTTTGCCATAGAACTTTAAAGCATTTATGTTTTATTAGGTGTAAAAAGACTATTAATATAAAGAACATAATTATAATAATTAGTACATTTGTTTATAATTTAATTTTTAAAATAACTAGAAATTATATACCATTTGAATTACATAAATAACATTTAAATCAGTCATTTGAGAAATCCCATTAGTCCAAAAGATAAAATTTTGCAGAAGAAAAAACTTCTTCTGCTAATATTAAAAGACGAAATTCATCGTTTCAACATGTTAACTGTGCAAAATTTTGATTCAACGTATCGTTTTGTTTACCATTGATCAATGACCATTGTAATAAAAAAATTTTGCCAAAACAGTGACTTATGGGGTTTCTCAAATGACCGATTCATGATATTATGAGTATACGTACATTTAATTATTGATATTGTTACTTAAAATTTACTTAACCAAATAACCTTTTAGAGGTCCAACTTTCAAGGGAGCGCATGGGAATGGTCACCTGAAAGAGGACAATATTATTTACACCAGTTTACAATCAAACAACCAGAATTAAACTTCCGCTCTCCAATACTTTTAGATGAAATGAAGGCATATAGTTTAATTATTAAATTTTAAATGAAAAAAAAATTATTAGATTTAAAATTCTATACAATTTAATTAAATTTTTCAATCAATAGAATGTACTAAGGTTTTGGTTGGATATGGGCATTGACGGATTTCGTGTGGATGCTGTACCATTTATTATAGAAGACGAGTTTTTCAGAGATGAACCACTACTCGATCCTAATTCACCTGATGATAATTTATCATATAATTTACTTAACCATATTTACACAAGAGATCAGCTAATGACTTATGAAATAATTGAGGAATTTAGAGAAGTTCTTGATGAATTTACAGCCAAAGATGGAAACACTAGGTAAGTAAAAATTTTAAGTACAAATTATTTTTAATAAAAACAAATAAATTTGTGTATTTCGTTTAAAAATAAATTTATTATAGTGAAGTTTTATAGGCTCTTAGACAATAGACCCGTTATCAGTCCAACGATTCAATTCGATTAGTGTGAAACCCCAATAAAATTGAGTTCAAGATGATCGAATGAGATGATAAATGTTATAAATGAGATTTTTAACTATTTATTATTTTATTCGTTTTCTAACTTTTTCGTAAAAAAATTTTAAATGTTTAAAATTTTTTTACGAAAAAATTAGTAAAGTTAATTTCATATGTTGAAAAAAATTATGAACAATTTTGTTATTCAGGAAGATATCATTAAAAATTTTAAATATTAAAATTAGCATTTTTTTATGAGTTGGATTATTTTTTTTATAATTTTAAAATTTTAATACTAGAGACACTTATCATTCTTTTGATATATATTTTTTTAAGAAATTCAATTGAAAATCTAAATAGGATAACAACTAGTGAACGAACGTTCAAATTTTTTGATCTTGAAAAACCCTATATTCATTTATATATTGATGATAAACTCATGAAATTAATAAAACTTTGTTCTGTGAAAAAAATTTTGTAATAATAAAATTCACATAATGATTAATAGATTGAAAAAGTTTTTAATACATAATTTTAAATTTAAAATGTAATTTTTCCAGTTAATAAAAAATTAATGATATTGCATTAAAATTTTAATGTCATCTTACGGCTAAATCTATATATTTTTTTTGTTATAAACACAATTAACTAGCAATTTACGCGATCAAATTATTAGATTTTTTAGTTTAAAAACTTGGTGGGTTCATTCACTTTTTATGTTATTCTACCAGAAGGGCTTAAACATAACAAGATAATCATGTGAAGATTTTATTTTTTATATAAAATACATTCCCCAAATAGTTGGGATAAATGCAAGAAAAAAGAAAAATTTATATAAAATTAATTCCAACGATTCATAGCCAAAAATAAGAATAGTAGAATTTTCTTCAAGCACATTAATGTACAAAGCAATTCATTATAAGGGAGTTTCGGACAAGTTTAAACAATTAAGCTTAAACATTTACAATTTTAATAATTTGCTTATACTGATTAGCCAACATGTAAAACTTTGCTAGTCTGATTTTGTCTTGATATCATGCATCGTATAGTTTAATGTTAACTTAGTTTAAATTTTTATTATCAATTTATTAGTTAAAGTCGCTAAAACAATATAAATACTAAAATTTAACTCTAATATTATTAATAATATTTATTTTTAATTTCTTTAAATGAACTGCTCTTATCAAAATTATTTCAAATTATTCGATTGGTAATTAAGTTAAAAAATAGAAATTAAAACTGAATCATTTTTACATATTGAACAATTTTTTATGATTTTAAACACCATTTCTAAATAATACTATGCCATAATATATTTAGCAATGGTATTTTAATATAATTTATGTTAATTAATAACCAATTAAAACTATATACTAAATCATTAATTTTTAATTCATTTACATCTGGTTTCATTTTGAATCTTTAAAAACTTGTTTTGTATAGAAAAACAAATAATTTTGTTCCATTATTTTATAAAATACTCCAAAATTCAATTTATTTCATATAAATATCTACAAAATGTTTAAGCTGTAAAATACTGTTTAAAAGAAAAAAAATTTACCCTGTTAAAAATACATGAATGCATTAGATTTTTAATTTAGGTTTTTATAGTTAAAATAATTACACAAAGATGAGTAATTATTCAAATACAGATTTTACATTGTCTTAAAACTAGCAGTGAACCGTTTTAACTTTATTTTTGTACTTTTGTGGAACTTGGTGTATTCATGTTAAACTCAATATGCATATTGCTTGTTTGAACTTGGTTTTACATTGTCATTTATATTTTTAATAAACCTTATCTGAATCAAAATTGTAAGCTCCGNGAATATTTCTTTGCGCATTTGGTATATTATTGTTTTGGTAAAAACCGTGAAAAGAAAAAGTTTCAGGCACACATAAGTACTGTGATAAGGAAGTTGAGGAGTAATAGAGTCCATGATTGTCATTAGTCCATGAAATGAATGGGAGATTATAATCACCACAGAAGATTAAGGAGTAGGATGGATATTGTTGTGATATGGATTCAACTGAGTTAAGATGAGTTTTGTATAATTCAATTGGAGATTGAGGAGGGAAATAAACACCGCAGAGTATAAAATTATTTGAGTTAATGTTAAAATGGATGAATAGTTGTTCAATACTATTTTCTGTAATAGAGAGAGGGAAGGAAGGAATGTCTTTGCGTATGGCAATAAGAACACCGCCACCTCTTTCGAAAGAGCTTGTTGTAGGTGATCTATCAAATCTGTAGATATTATAATTAACTAAACCTAATTCAGGGGAGAAAAAATTACTATTAAGCCAAGTTTCTGTGAGTACAATGAATATATAATCAAAACAAGATGTATTACATTTAAAATTTGTGAGTTTGGTACGCAGACCACGGCAGTTTTGATAATATCCGAGAAGGTTAAACGAGTCCCTTTTATCACCTAGCTTCGAGGACGTTGATGTCCTCTGAATATGTTTTTTGAACGAACACTTCAAATTGATATACTTGTTATATTATAATATAATACTTGTTATTTTATAACAAGTATTCTTTATTTTTTTATTTACTCAAAGTTCTTCTGAATTTTGGGAAGGCAGTTCCCCTAAAACCCTTTTTTCACATAAATATGCCCTTAACTCTTCAAATTGATATTATTTTATGGATGCAGATTATTTATTATATGGTTAAAGAATTCAAAATCGGACATTTAAACCAAAAATTAAAACTAAGTTAAATTTTATACATATAATGGAAATTTATCGCGTTAAGTGTATATATATTAATTATGTATTCACAATCGTGTGAACAAAATTAATAGATATTATACCTATTATTAGTCACCTTCTTATCAGTTGTTTAAAACGTTTATTAGTACACTCCATAATTAAATGCAATGATATATTATTATCTTAATTTACATTCATTACATATTATTGTAATTTTATGGTCTCGTGATACTAAATAGAAATTAAATTAATTACTATGTTTTAATTAGAAATTTACAGACCTTGGAAAGGGTCAGTGCATATAATATTCTTACAATTTTCGACTATTAGATATTTTTAAAAATACTGGTGCAAAACAGTATTTAAAAATATAAACAATTTCACTTCCCATCACTAGTTGCCTAAATTTCTTATTATATCATTTTATTATTAATATGGTAATTTATATAAGTATCTATTTTTTTTGCATAGACCTTACACTTTTATAAAGGCCTATTATGATTATTGGTACCAACATTTTCTTTAATACATTCTTATTCACTAATTAGTTTAAAAAACTTTTGAACTTGAAATTTTAAAAATAAGAACTTAATTCAAAAAGTTCAATCCTAATTCTCATATAAGACATATAATAAGACTATAATTTATCGTCATTCGCCTATAAAGAACTTTGAACTATTGGCCAGTTCATTCCAAGGTCTGGAAATATATGAGCAAATTTTATCTCTTTTTGTTTTTTTGATGAATTTTGGTAAATCAGTGCTATTTTATCATGTTTTGTTTTGTAGGTTATTATTGACCGAAGCATATGCTCCCATGAATTTTACCATGTTGTATTATAGTCAAGAAAAACCAAGGGCTCATATGCCATTTAATTTTAATTTTATAACTTATTTTAACATTTCATCGTCTGCAGAAGATATTAACAATATTATTCATTTATGGTTAGATAATATACCTAAAGGTCAATGGCCAAATTGGGTGGTAAGTTTAAATTTATTTTTTAAATAAAATATTTATTATTTATTATGATATAATTAAATTAAGATTGGAAACCACGACAATAAACGAGTCGCGTCACGGTTAAGTCAGGATATGGTAGATCCGATGAACATGCTTAATATGATGTTGCCAGGGACTGCTGTCACATACAATGGAGAAGAAATTGGCATGTCTGATGCTTATTTAAGATTTGATCAAACAGTTGATCCATGGGCCAAAGCTTTTGGACCATTAAATTATAATACTGTCTCAAGAGATCCAGCTAGAACGCCTTTTCATTGGAATAATACACAAAATGCTGGTATTTTTTTAGATATATCATTTATATTGCAAAATAATTACATTTTAATTCGACATTAGAACATTTTTGTAATCATTTTATTTTTAAATATAAAATCATTTCTAATGATTAAAACATAATCTAAAAATCATATCTATTTAGGATTTTCTAGATTGAAAAAAACTTGGCTCCCTGTTAATAGTAATTATTGGATTAACAATTTGAAATTGCAAAAGAAAAATAATAAAAGTTACTATAAAACTTATAAAAAATTAGTTCAACTTAGAAAAAAGCCAACAATATCGCATGGAGATCTCACTACTTATGTACTTTCAAAATGGGTATTTGCCTTTAGCAGGTAAACATTTATTAGCTTCGAAGGTATTAATTTTACTATGATGTGTTTTTTTTTTTTTTGTGTGTCTGTTACCACTTTTTCTCAACTCTCACCGAACGGATTTCTTTCAACGATACGTCAAAAGATCACAAATCGTATCTAGTCGAAGACATTACCCTTAAAAATTGAAAAAATTTCCCTCGTTCCCCGTAAATGGAAGAAACCTCCAAAAAAATTACAAATTTAAAAATCGCTAATTTTCGAAATTTTTTCAATTTTTTTTACTAAAAACTGCCGTAACTTTTTCAAAAATGTTCATTTTTAACATATTAATATAATTTTTTTTTTTATAGATGCTTGATGTCTTTACTTATCATTTGGTATATTTTTTTTGTAAATTTGACCCTTTATCTGCCCACAGGGGGGGATTTAAAATGAAATAGTGATTTTAATCACTGTCAGATATCATTATACTTGATCCAACTATACCACGGCACCACTGTGCCGCAACTCCCCTGTGCTGGGTTTTTTAAATATACATATTAGGGGGATGTCTTTAAATTTAAAAAAATGTTAATAAATTGATTATTTTAATTGTGAAAAATAACATAAAACATATTTTAAATATAGCACTATAATGTAAAAATTGATAAAAAAAGTGTAAAGTGTTACACAGATCATAATTTATATTAGTTGTCAGTTAGATCTGTTCCATTCTATATATTAGACGTCTTACTAAGTCGCACCTATATATATTTAAAAAGTCCAGTCTTCTGACAAAATTAAGTATCTTTTTTAAACTTTAATTTTTTGATATCTTTTTCAAGAAAGTATTTTTTTAAATTTTAGATCTTAATGTGGCCAGGGTATCACATTTATAAATAAGGAGGTTAGGTTTTTATTAATAATTTAGTTGGGATTTTAAATTTCATTTTCATGCTCATATCTAGTTCAATAATTTTTGTTTAGAAAATTAAATGGTTATGAAGATTATTACATTATTCTTAATATTGGAACGGAACAAGAAGAAATAACTTTAAACTCATGCTTCAGTAATCTATCAAAAAATATAAATGTACAAGCCTCTAGTTTGAATTCTGTCTACAAAGAGGGGTAAGAACTATACAATGTTATTCTTTTATTTTCGATTTTATTTTAGTCTCCCACATATTCACTAATAACAGAAATATTCATTATTCCATTTTATCACACTAACTAGCTTTTATTGGCAAAGGTATTATCCAACATACAGAAATCTTATCTTACATCATTTATGTCTATTAATATTCGCATACTCTTACATTCAACGCAAGTTTACAATGGTACATTATTAGACATCATATTTAATATTTATTGATAATTACCATAAAAATTAAATTAGGTCCTATTAAATAAGATTATTGCTATTTCAAGTATTAAGAAAATAAAATTAATTTTCACATTTACTTTAATCCAAATTTTTAACCAATCTTAAAACGCAAACTATTGTCTCAATAAAAAAAATCGATCAGTTTTACATCTTTCTATTTCGAGAACTTAACATGGTANAATCTTAAAACGCAAACTATTGTCTCAATAAAAAAAATCGATCAGTTTTACATCTTTCTATTTCCAGAACTTAACATGGTACAGAGAGTGGTGGGCCTCTTCCATGTGTTAGGGAGTCAAAAATGGTTCTTGGCTAGGCCAATAATGATGGGGGGGGGGGTATTATAGCCGGTTTTAACCAGAGACCAGACACTACCAATGAGAAAATCACAAGAACAATCTCGTTTGCACCCTGGGGATCGAAATTATAAGAATAAAATTTTTTATGATTTATTTTATCATATTATTAAGCAAAAAGCTGAGGTTTCTATTTAATAAAATTAATTTTAAAAGATCTCAAAAGAAATGAAAAAAATCATTTGATTACATAATATTGTAGAGTTTTTTAAACCAAATAATTTTACTTTTTACAAAATTAAAAAATTTCAATAGTCTCTGAAAAAATTATACTTATTTTGATAACTGTCAGATATAAATCGATGTGGTTTAAATTATTGTTCCTAACTGTACATGGTTTTATTTTTTAATTAAAAAATATATATATAACGGAAAATATTTGTTTGTTACAGCCAAATTATCAACCCAAATGATATCTTGGTAATGACTCCAAAATCATCTATAGTCCTTTCATCTGAATAACCAAGTATACGAGTTGATTACTGGTACAAATCAATAAAATAGTGATTACTATCTATTTATTTATTTATTTTTTAGTAATTTACAAGCAAAACTAATTAACAGAAAATATAAAAATTTTAAAATATTTAAATAAGCTTTTATTTCTTTGTTAAGGTTTTTTTATAGAAAAGTGATATAAAAAATTAATTAATTTATGAAATTTTAATAGGTCAAAAAGTAATTTATGGAATCAAATACTAAAAAATTGTCAAAGGATTAAGAAATAATACCACAATAAGTAAATAATGCACTGTTTATTTAAAAATCTTTGTTAGATATCAATTTAAACAGTCAAAAACAGGTTTCATAATATAACTCAATAGGAATATAGATATAATAAGAAAGACATATTGTTACAAAACTCATAATTCCATTATAAATAGCATATATACAATAAATATTTTATTCAAATGTCTTTACCTTTATACAAATAATATTTTAGAATATATTATTTTATAGCTTATAAAATAAATAAATTTAGAGCTGCGTTAAAAAATACTCCGATACATAATTTGCTGTTATAACCATCATGATGAGTAAAAACAAAACAAAAATCTGTTTGCATGCAACCAGTAAAGAAGAAACCCAATGAAGCGACAAACTCACTGAAACAAATTAGAATGAAAACATTTTTTTTTTAAGTGATAAGGTTAAACTTTAAAAATTAATTAAAAATAAGTAAAACAAGCATTAATGTACAGCAAAAACAATAAAATAATTGTAAAGAAAAAATATTGACGCACAAATACAAGCCTAATGCCGAATTTTACATAATAATCATTTATAAAATCTCTTATTTTTTATTATGTTAGTTGGTTCAATTGATTTCCTATATTATCCTGAATATTAACGGAGAAACTCAAACTCAATTTGAGCACAATACCCTCCTTACTATAGTTTAATTTTATACTCAAACTACGTAAGCAATTAAATCCAGTATCAAAAAGAATAAAAAAATGTCAAAACAAAATCTGTTACCGAGTAATGTGGCTATTTTCCAAAATCTGATTTATATAAATTTACTCATTTTTTAGGAAAGCATTATATTTATGTGCAGTATTTCATAAATCGAAATTTTTTTTAGCTAAAATTTCAAACTTATCGTTAATATTGAATCTTAATTTTTGGACACAATAAAAAATCTCTGTACAAATTATAAAAAATCTTAAAACTCACTTTAGTGTCACAAGCGTTTAAAATAAGCCACACCAATGTAATAATATTAATTATAATGTTATTTTATATGAAATATTTTTCGATGCGCTTTTTTAAATTTATTTTCATGATTTACTTAAGCAATGCAAAGATTACAAAATAACTCAGTAAATTGATAATGCACGTTATTGTAATTTGGATAATTATTTAAGAACAATCATTACATGTAACTCTAAAGATATATTTCAATATATCAAAAAATTAATTCTCAAAAAACTTTTTATTTTTTTTTTTTACAAAAAAATGGTAAAATGAAGAAATCAAATTAATTTTAAATTTAAAATCTAGCAAATTTTAATTTTGTATAAATGTGCTTTTTTACTAAAATTTTTCTTGCGATTACACAAACAAGAAATAATACGTATAATAAAGCATTAATCACAGTGATGTTCATTTTTATAGATTAGGTATGTGCACATGTTATGCTCAAGATAGATATGAAAATTAATTATATCATACCACAGGACAAATATAAAAGTTTATGTAACAATAACAAATATACAACCATTCTAATATGTATTTGGTAACAGTAAAAATGTTAGGATCCCCTAATTATACACTTTTTAAAGTTAGATAAATTTAATGTTTGTGCTATTCGGATGTATTCTTCCACGGATACAAAGATGAAAACGAACTACGTATTTTCTCAACACTAACCAGTGACGATGATCCAAACAGCCTGTACCATTCCGTTAACGATGACCCAGGACTTGTTGATATGCTATCCATATATATCACGGCTACGCCCATAAATACTTTTCTACCTTTTTCTCGTCCATAATCACCCCAAACTGACACCTAAGTAAAAAATGAATCCATTCAGTCATTTATAACAAAAATTGAAACATTGATGTGTTATTCATAATTTAAATAGATTTGAAATTTATACAAGACATTTAGCTAAATTCTAATCAATAATGCATTTATATCGTATCTCTTTATACTTCATTATAATCAAATTTCTTATAATTAAATTGTCTAAATTACCTGAATTAAACAGCTAGCAGGAGAACTCTTAAATTTTAAAACCTCCATATACTTTGGTTGTAAACTCTCTTTTATTGTTTTTGTACGATGTTTTTCTACACATTTCTTTCCTTTTACTAAATAAACTTTTACATACGTATCTAAACAAATTATAGCATAATAAAAAAATTTGTACGTGTTTTCATTGGTTATTAATAATGGAAAATTAGTTTAAATTTTATTTTAAGACCAATTTTACTAATTTTTCAAGAGACCAAAACAATGTCTATAATGTTTTTTATCAATCGATATTTTTAAATTGTGTTGTATTTAACATATGAAAGAAGATATTCTTTTCTATACAAACGAAAAAAAAATTTCAAAAAGCCATTTATGTGATATATCAGCTTTTGAATAAAAGCTACAAATTTTCATTATAAAAAAGACAATATTATTAATATTATTTACCTGGAAGCTTAGTTTTAGTCTCTTTGACATTTATAAGATCCTTTGCTTCAAAGACAGTCACTTCCATGAAATTAACAAAGAAATTAAAGCCAATTTTCACATCTCCCCGATATGGAGTTCCCAAAATTTGACGACTAACTTTTTGACCAGGACCTAGTTTACCAATGAACGTGGTCACTTCGCCCTCGGTAGACTGTCCGGCACTACAATTATTAGGTGGTAAATTAAAATATTTTTTATAAAACTATTTTATAACATAAGGATATCTCTAAAAGATATCTATCTAATGTCTACTCATCATTTTTTATTAAATTAAACCATACTGAGAAGATTTTGTTGTGCTTGAAGAAATTGATAGTCGCGAGAAGACCAAACATGAGAATAGTATTTAAAAATAAATAATAAAGAATCGTATCTTAAATATATTCTTACCTTAAATATAAATCTTACTTTTAAACCATGTATTGATAACTTATTTCCATTTTGCTTTATTGTTATTTTTTTTTATTATTATAAGATATCAACATAGGAAGATTTTTTATTATTTATTAATTCATTTATTCGAAAAGATATTTCTTTTTTCAGAAAGCAATGTTCATAAAATTAATTTAAAGCAGATATGTTAAAAATAAAAATGATATTATTTGAATATTATTAAAAACTTTTAACTGTTATTTTAAGAAAAATCAAGTGTTTTAAATTTCGGAAATAAGAAAATATTGTTTTAAATAAACTCAAGCTGTTAAAAATCAATCAGACATGTGATTTTCCCCATTTTCGGTAGGTAGGTGAATCGTAAAGGATAAAAATGTTTCTTATAAAAAAAATAAAATTAGTAGTAAATAGTTATATATGTTATACTAATAACAACTGAAATATATTGGTACAACTACAAATATTTTGTTTGAATTAATATAATAATTACAATTATAAAGCTACATTAAGTTATTGCTGATTCAACTAGATGAGTTTAGTTCTATCAACTATATTTTATCACTATATCAATTATGTTAAAGGGTTGGAGTATCTATTTAAATCATTGTTTCAACTAAGTATTTTTTTCGTGTAGATATTTAATATAATGAACATTTAATTTTATTATGTTCAAATCACAGTAAGATAATTAAATGAGATTAATTGTAAATAATAATGATGCATTTAATACTTTTATAAGATTTTATAATCCATAAAAATAAATCGTCTTGTACATTAAACATAAATCTATGAAAATCTGTGAAATTAGAGATTTAACATAACAATTATGTATTAAAAATTGTTTATCATATGAAAATAATTGTTATTCTCTTGTAATAACCAATTATAAACATATTCAAACACCCAAAAATTTGTTTTATATAAGATAAAAAAAAATTATTTCTAATTAAATCAATAAAATAGTTTTTAATCATAAATTAATATCACTAATAAAAATGACATAACTCGTCATCCACAATAACGGTATGTATTGATAAATTAATTATTTAATTCGGAGCTAGGACCAAAATAATTTAGGTTTACCGTATTTAGGTTCTATTATATGTAGTAATTTAGTTGACATACGTCGTTTTTTTTTTGAAGAAGAAGAAGAATCTGTAAGGTTAATAATTGTAGAGCCAATAGTATTATGAAATATTTTTTATAACCTTAACCAAATTAAAAATTTTAAAAACCAAAATCAATCAATATATTTTTTTTCGGTTAATTTTAGTTTTTTAAGTCAAATTTTCAGTTCAATTAAAGTTTCAATGGCGGTCTCATAATATTTTTAGTTTTTATAGTCACTTTTTTTTAAATGTACTAAAAAAAATTCGACATGGATGAAGTACTTTACTAGATATAAGAAAAATTGTAAAAAAACGATATTATTTGGGTTACTTTATTATCTAAATTATGTTATTAGAGATAATTATAATAATATTATTGTATATCTGACACAATTTGATTTTCGATTGATTGCATGTAAATTAAATTCAATTTTAATTAAAACATCAAATTTAATACGATTGATTAAATACTTCTGGCATGACTAGACAACAAAAATTGTCAAAATTTGATAACTAAATGGTTAATCTTATTGATCTACTTTCTTTAGGGTAACAATTCAAGTAACACTTGCATTTATTTGTAAATTAAGATTAATAGAGAAAACGTACTATTTTTATTAAATAAAAATAATAACTATTGTATATGTTTTAAAAGTCTCACTATCTTTTTAAAATAGCGATTCAATTAATTTTTTTTCTTTTATAGCATAAGTCCTATTCAATAATTACAACTACATTGTGATTTAATAAAAAAATAAACCATGCACATGCAAAAAACTTAATGATATTAAACTAAACATAATTTTACAAAGCCGATTAATTTCAACATTATATACCAAACAGTATTAGAAGCGATCATTCTTATTTTATTACAATCAAATTGCAGTAAATAATTTTCTACTCACCTTTTAATTTATACTTATTATATTCTGTTAAAGTATATTATTCTTTTCATTTACAAAGATTAAGGAACATTAGCTAATATAAATCGTTGTTTTATATTTTATCAATTATACAAACAATGTTCACATATTTTACTTGAGAAAAAATTTGTAAATATTTTTATTTATATAAGATATTAATATTTTGAGCTGACAGCTTTTAAAATTATTTTAAAATATAACAATAATTAGTAATATTACGAAAAAAAACGTATTTTGCCGAAATTATGTTATAATATTTTATAATTAAAATTATAATTCTTTCAATACTTTATGGTAACTATTAATATTTAATATATAAAGTTGATGTCGGCTCTATGTTTCACACATACTTTATCAATGATTACATAAATCGACATTCCTACTTACAACACTAGTTTATAATATAACTATAAACAGTATGTATGTTATTATATTATTAGTTTAATAATTTATATGAAAACTATATATAATAGAATAAAAAAATAATAAAATTGCATAAATGTACTAAAATATTGTTATTGAATAAAATTAATCATGTTGAGCAGTATTAAAAATATTACTTGTTTAGATGTTACATCGAAATACATCAGTTTATCAGTTTCTCTAATAAATATCTAATTTTAATAATGGCATATTTTATATTTACTATTTTATTAAGTTAAATTATACTATTTCTTTTTTTATTCAGTTGTCACCTACTTTTAAAGCGGACAATATTTAGAAAAAATAACATCACAACACAATTAAATGAGCCATAACAGTAAAAATAAAAAATATCTACTTAGAGTTATTTCATAGATGATTAAACGACTCCAAAATGATATTTTTTTAAAAACGTGATGAGACAAATTTTTTTTAAAGTTTTTTCATCATAATTAAAAGTTATGAATAATTATTTATAATGAATTATCACGAAAACTATGTTAATAGTACAAAAATCAACAATTTTGCAATCATAAATTTTGTAACTGCTGTAAAGTTCTATTTTTTTTAATAAATATTTTCAATGAAGTTATCAAGTTTAAATTTAAGATATATAAATTTTCCACGAATTTAATAACATTGTAATATTAAAATAAAAAATTTTTATCCAAATTTGACAATAATTTGCCACTTGCATAAATATAGTATTAACGTGCAATAAGAGAAGAATTGTAAGCTAAAAACACGCAGGCCAAAATAGAGATAAATTGATGTATTTAGATGGCATGGGAGACTTTAAATTACTTACGAGCTCGGGCAATCACTAGAAAGGCTTGTGAGACTTGCTTGTCTGCCCGGAGCCACCTCTTGGGACCGCTTAAAATTGGGTTGGGTGCCACCGCCTCCGCAACCTGAACCACGTTTCCCTTTCGAGCTCCTTCCTTCTAGCCAACAATCAATCAAATAAAAAAATATCCGAAAAAAGCACTTCGAGGAAGGGATAGTTACTAAATTACATTAATAGGATTTAAAAAATGATATGCAGTTAAGGAATCAGGTAAAATATTATTGCGCATTATTTCTATTCAATAAAATAATACTTAATTAAATTTATACTGTATTTATACAATTATCAAGTCAACTTAAACGAGTATTTAAAACATTTTACATATTGTTATTTTTAACATAATACCCTATAAAAGCTTGCTACAACTATGCACCAAATCCTAAATTATTCATGACTAAGTGATAAATACGGTAAAATATCTAACCAAAAACGACTATTGGCCAGCTACAAATGCTGAAAATGCTTCAAAGCCAATAGACGTCTCTAGTGTGTATTGATATTTGGCAATATTTACAAGCGTCTCATAATTCATCATAAAACTTTATAGAGTATTTCTAGCGACGATGTATTTTCATAAAATATATATTCAGACTTTTTGCACAAACATTCTACAACAAAAATTATATGTACACGAGTGATGATCCAATCCCCATGCAAAGGCAAACTTCTTTTTTTGAAAATCATCACACCAAAACGACAATATACAAATGCTCCATTGAGTTTTACCATGTTTGGTCTTCAATTCGGATATACCATCAATAACTCCACTTAATTTATTAATTTATTACTTTTCATTAAAAAACACAAATAGCTTTATTAACCTTTCTCCATCTTGGGACACATCACCGTCACTAGAAACGCTGGACGGCTGTTTGATGAGGGAGCGACTCGCCCCAGGCAGTACTTCTTCGCTTCTGTGCACCGTAAATGAAGATTTTCCTTTCGAACCGAAACCTAACCTACGCTTGCGACCTTTAAATCCAGCCCAAAATTAATGATTATATATACCAATGCGCAATCAAAAAATATTAATGCATAACAAGGATGTTTTTTTAAACAGGCGGTTGAAAAGAAATTAAAGCAGAGAATGAGTGTAGCATATGAGAATGCTTAGATGGATGAGTGAAGTGACTAGAGAAGATATAATAAAGAACGAGCATATAATAGAGAGTATAGGTGTAGCGACAATCGTGGATAAGATGAGAAAAAATATACTTAGATGGTTTGGTCATGTTATGAGGAGAGAAGAATCGGAAGCTGTAAGAACAGTTATAGAAATGAATGTTGAAGGAAAAAGAGGTAGAGGAAGACCAAAAAAGAGATGGAGGGATGCTATTAAATGCGATATAAGGACATCTGATGTGAGTGTAGATGATGTGGGATATCGTGTCAAGTGGAAGTTTAGTATAAGAGTTGCCGATCACAAGTAGTTGGGATTAAGGCGAGGAAGAAGAAGACATGTTCAACATATTTATTCAAAAATTAATTTAAATAATTATGCAAAACCGTTTAAATATAAAATTAAAAAGATAAATTTTTTTTTAAAAGTAAAGTATAATTTATTTAATCATTATTAAACAAATATTCAAAACTAATGAAGGTAGAGAATTTAACATTGTTTTATAGTGGTAGTTAAAGTTCTTTTAAATATATCATTGTTTTTATTAATTAATAAAACTAAACATTTCTTGTTAATAAGTAGTATAAAAATTAATTACTTAATTTTTTCGATTCTTACCGGTTGCTGATAACTGTGAAGCAGATGCACTTTTTTTGCCCATTCCAGATGCAGAAGAGTTAATCCCGGAAGCTGAGCTTTTACTTCCACTCTCAGTTAAGGAAGACGAGTCACCTCTACGTTTTCCTGTACTACCAGAGTCTAAAAAATGACAAACATTAAAGATAATTATTTTATAATCATTTTTAATTCAACGTACCGGTAATGTTATCTGTTTGTACATCAGCATTTGATAAGCTTCTTGAAAATTGAGCCCTTTTATTATCATTAGAAGGAACCATAACTGGTGATTGTTGTGATCCAGATCTACTTTGTGACGATCCATAATCACTGCCATGGACAACAGCATTTAAAGGATTGGTTAAAGCATTACTATATGCTACGGCAACGCTACTATAACTACCCGCTACTTCTACCATAGATTTTCCTAAATCTAAAGTTAGATTTCTTTTCCTATGATCTTTATACTTTTCAGTTGGTGACTGGAATCCTATTAAATCTAACCCACCATCAGAATCGTAAATAAGGTATTTATTATTTGAATCGTGGTCTAAATTGAAACGAGTTTTTTTTATAGGCTTAGGATTCTCTGTTGGCGAATTTTCAGATAAAACAGGTCTATTATCTATTGGGTGAAGTAAGAAAGAATCAACAGGAACTGAATTATAACGATATAAAAACACACTAGCACGCTTGCTACTACTTTGACTATAACTACAGCTAAGGGAATGGGTCACTGTTGGGTAGCGGTAGTCTGTAGCGTTGCAGCAGCTGTAAAAAAATAAAATGCATAGGTATGAAATTTTTATTAACTTTATTATCATATATGTACACAAATCCTATATCTATTATTCCCAATTTAGTCATTACGTTTTTATTAAAAAATTATACTTCTTAATGAATGCAAATAAAATTAATTTGAATTCTTTTAAGTATAAAAATCTAAAAAAATCGTAAGAATATAGTTATTAATAATATCATAAGCCTCTGTTTATTTTAATAATGGAGATTATTGTGAAAAATTATTTTTAATTAAACCTCAACCTTTTGCATTTTGAGAAATACGACAAACTTCTTTCAAGAATCTAGGAGGGAAATAATCATATCCATCTATTACGTTATTACAGTATTTTTTAAGCTATTTTTTTTTTAATTTATAAATTTTAAGTTATAAATTTGTTTTTTTATAAATTATAATAAAACAAATTTTTTGAATTCTTAATTTAAATTATAATAGCTTACCAAAATCTCGTAGATCTAGGTTGTTCAGATTGTGTAGATAAAGCACTACTAATAACACTATCACTGTCGTCGATATCACATATATCTCCTGTCTCCCCTCTAGACATCAGAGATCCTCTAACGTGTGGTGGAGTGAGAGATCGCATTTGTTGTAAAGGAATATCACTATCACTCAGACCACCATAATGGTGTAATCTACCGAAGCCCCCAGATCTACCCTGCATTCTTCTTGGTTGCATTTGTCTCATTCTTCTTCTCATAGATGAAGTCTGATCATCAAAATACTAAAAATATTGTTTATTATTTATTTATATAAATAAAATGTAAGAGTTAAGAAATAATTAAAGAACGTATAATTACATATGGTATTCGTTCATCTAAGGAAGAAGGCATGGTCCCTGGAATTTGAGGAAGTTGCCGCTTTTTAGGCGTTGAAGTAGGCGTAGTGGTGGCTGATCTAGCCAAAAACCTTGTCGTTCCTTGTCTATAGCTTGGAACACCACCAGGGTACCTATAATCTGGTGGAGATAAACTTCTTCTATCACATATTATGGTTGGACTTTTTGATCGTGATCTGGTATGTTGGCTTGGAGAATCAGTCGGAGCAGCAGATCTCGATCGATGACTAATGTTAGTTATAGATCGATTTGAAATAGACTGTTGCTTTAAAAAAAATTAATTTTAGTGATCTATTTCTAAATAAAATTTATTTAGTTACCTTCATGCCCATTTCATAGCCATATTTTTTTTCAGTGTTTGTACCGTAAACATACGATTTTTGAAGTGCAGGAGACATATTATCCCTACGACTTTTTCTTCGATCTAAATGATCGTAATCAGGTGGAGGGCTAAACATATTCAACCATAGAGTAATTTAACAAATTTAACGGAAAACAAATTATATACAAATCAAATAATGTACACACCTTATCGAGCTACCTAGACTACTTATTGATGCACCGTCAGCCCCGACTCTTCTTCCACTACAACAATCATCAACATCCGAGGCATCAGAATCAGATTGTCTTGATAAAGTTGAAGGTGGAGATAAATGCTCCCCATAGTCCATATCATAATCTCCTATTGAAACTCCGCCTTCGCCCTAAAATAATGTTTAATTTAAATAAAATCAAAATATGTAAACAATAAATAAACAATTAAACTAACTGTTATTTCTTGATGAGCCGTCAACAAATACCACTCAGCTAAATTGTCGAGTTTTTTCAAACCTAGTTCAATTAACACCTCTCCAAGAAATTGATTCGTAGGATTATTATCATAATCCCAAAGTGAAATCTGAAGAACTTTAAATTTTAAATCAGATCTTCTCATAGTGGTAAATGAAAAACTTTGATTCCATTTAGGATCAATGGAATTCATTATAGTTTTAGTTCTCCGTTTTGATTTTTCACTAGTATCGGGTAAAAGGCACACTTTAGCATATGCTGACCTAGGTGAACCATCAGGCCGCGATAAAAGATTTGAAGCAGCCATTATGGTTACAACCAATTTTAATGATTGCTGATCAAATCCTAACTTGACCTAATAAATCATATAAATGAAAGATTAGATATATGATTTATATGATAGTAAAATATTTTATTTGATAAATTACCTGTATTTTTCCACCGACATGTAAACTATTTGGTCCAGAGACACTTTTGGAAGACCTCAAAATTCGCGCTGGATGTGAAGCTAAATGCTCAGGACTACCCGGTGACGTTATCATAACATACGGCTTATCTTTGCGCAAATCATAAAGTCCTAAAATAAACATGAAAATATTCAATATCATTTTAATGAAAACTTAAAAGAGTTTAAAATTAAAGAGGTTTAAGGGCATCAATTGGGCGGTTTGAAATTGTGCTAACCCGTTGAAGTACTTGTAGCTGAAAGCAAATGAAACAATAATATTAATCGATAAAATCAATTAGGGTTTCAAAAACATATTTTATTTTATACCTTTAGGAGGCGTCCCATAACTCGCCCTCCTAGGTAAAATAGACCTGGAAACCTTGAGTTCTATTTGAGGTAAATGTTTTGATTCGGCAATTATGTCTGCTACTTCCTTATGAGTTTTTCCTTGCAATAAACAACCATTCCATTCCAAAACTTCATCCCCTATAAAAATAAAAGTAATAAATAAAAAAAATACATTAAAAATATATTTTAATACATATTCTTTATTCTAACTATTGACTGAAGTTTTATATTCTAATTTATATTATCATCACACATATAGTTTTACTAAATAAAACGAATAAAGAAAATACTAATAAATTATATTTTATAAAATACGTTTTTTTTTAATATTCTACAAATAATCTAACTAAGGGTTAGATCATAATTACAAATACGTATTTTTATTTAAGTTTTTCTATTTTATACTTTGATAGTTACAATGATAGTTAATCGAATAAAAAAATGTTAAATTCAACCAATTTTCAAAAATATTTCAGAAGATTATTAAGAATTATTTGCTTAAATGTTCCTAACAATAGTTTTCTTTTATTTCCTCTTAATTAGTTATTGTCGAATACATAACTTCATTGCATTAATAAGTAAAAAATAAAGGAACTTCAAAAAAATGAGGAAATAGACCGCAATGTCCCACTAACCCGGTTTTAAATTTCCCTCCATATCAGCCGTGCTGCCTTTTCGGACACGATCGATAATCGCACATCTCCTTCCGGTAGCCGACAGAAGTTTTCCGCCGGTGATTTTCAGACCCAACATGGCGGCAGCACTGGAAGACGGACTAACTGGAGTCTCCCACACAGACTTGTTAAGCACCATATGACCTATCAAGAACTTGTTATCGGGGCTCCTTTGCCACGACATTGGTTGCTGCAAACAGAATCGGCATTAACCCCTCATAACTAACTTATCATTAGTTGTCAGTCTAATCGTAACTTAAATCACTGCTCGTTGCTTAACGATTTTTTTAAACGTCTTCAAATAAATTTTTATTTTTAAAACATATATTTTTAGCTATTTTTAATCAATAAATATTAATATTTTTTCAGTTTCGCATCAAAACTGATGAAAATGCGAACAACAACATATGAAATAACAATTTTTTATTATTATTGTCATGCTTAGACCAAGTATAATGAAAAGGCTTTTTAAGTAAAATAAACAAGGTTATAGTTTAAAAACTACGAAAATTATTTATTTATTTTCACTATTTTATGTAATATACTGCTAAATATATAAAAATATATACATTTTTAATATTTTGCTTCAATTTTGAAGTTAATGAAACTTTAATTACTATTATGCAGCGGTTCGTTACAATTAGATAATTTATATTTTTTTTATATATAACTACATTGAAAACTATTCTATTAAAAATTTAAAAAAACACTACAATGGCATGCAAAGAAAAAGTCAAAAGTACACATGCTTTACTAGATAGCGTTAGGAGAAATATTAAACAATATAACAACTTTTGATCACTCACAAAGGCTGAATAAAAGCAGTGGTAAGTAAAAGAAATAATAAATGTTTATAAAATTTAACCCCCACACAGAACAGTTCTGTTTTGTGTTCCCTTTAAAACTCAAACTGTTGTATAAAAACAACAAATATTTAGATTAGAATAAAATCTAACCTTTATATACTGATAAATCTGTCCATATTTTGAGTTACTATATTTATTGTAAATATACATAATTATTAACTCCTCTTTCAATAATTTTTAAATATGAATAAGTCAAAAATATTCTAAACTCTCACTTACATTCTGCTATATTGTGAGTCAACCTACAAATACTTAATACACTAATTAACAAATAACAATACACCTTTGAGTAATAATCAAATACAACATTTAATGATTCTTTTATTAATTTTACTGGCAGTATAATTTGTTAGAAAAGAAAATCCATTGTTTATTACTTGTTTTTTTTCTTTTTTATTAATGTTTGATTAAAAAAAATACAATATTAATTATTTGTAAGTTTTGATATAGCTTTAAAATTCAATTAATTATTCCTTATTATATTTTATAAAATTTGTATATTATTGCCGAGCTTTATCTAATAAGGAAGAACAATAATTGTCCCTTTTACTTTCTTTCACTGGATAGAAAAATTTCATGTGAAATTTAAACTCGAATAATAAATGAAAAAATCAAAACACTCTTAAACTAAAATTAATTTTCTTTCAAAAACATTCGTTATAAAATAACGCTTCTTTATAAATACAAAAATTAAACTACTTATATATGATATAAAATGTGACTATATATAATGTAGATTATTTTTAAGTTTTTTTAATACCTAAATTATAGTAACAGTTTTAGTTTCCATTTTACTTAAACAAATCACTACTTCAAAAATGAAATTGAGAAAATCAGTGACGGTAACACTGATTTTGTTTGAAATATTTTTTTTTATCAACTAAAATATTAAAAAGTAAAAAAGGCTATCATCTCAAAAAATGAATTTAATAAATAAATTTTCTTATAACATTAAAGAATTGTAAAACAATGACAAAATATATGATTATTAGAGCACACTTGTTGCAAATAATTTTAGTAAAAGAATCACTAAGAAAATTGCGTTGCCGTCAATTATAATTGTAATTAATTATAATTGTTGTTTATTTTGACATTTTAAGAATGTCTCCAAGCAATTTATCAATAGTAGATAGTTTATTCTATTCACAATTTCTTCCTATTTTTCCTATTTTATATATATATATATATATATATATATATACTTATTTGTTTCGTTTATCATATTTTAATACCTTTGCTTCACTGAAGTACAACGGATCTTCGTTTGACGTGAATATCGAGCTGCTGGTATCAAAGCCAGAATCTTTAGACGTTTGCGGAGCTGGTTGATGATGTCGGTAATCAAACCTCACTGTTTTCTTACGTCTCGAACAGTTAATCGTGCCCATCTTACGGCAAATCGCTAAATGATAAGACAATCTTACCTAACCTCAAACCGCCCAGACTTAAGAGCCCCAACCGTAAAGCACAATTAAAAAGTACAAGTATATAGTAATAGTTATAAATGTAATATAGGAGCAAAGATGTCACGACGCATGCATGTTCGCAGAGAAACGCCGTATAAAAAACAAAATAAATTAAAACACAAATAAGTATAATCATCATACAACACTAAATTAGTGTACAAAAATTAGTTGAGCAAAACGAATAAAGAAAAACAAATAATCGGTACATTATACAGAACAAACATTACGAAAATGGAATTTTTGTATACCAAAAACCTACCGATGATAACGTTACTGAATGTTTATAAGGTTGATCTTCTCCCGGGTTAAATTCTGTGTCACCTGTACGTCAGTTCAATTAATTATTATCCTAAAACTTGGCAAAATATATTCGTGTTATACATAAACCTGTTGAGTTGTCCCTTTTGCTATAAGCAACCGAAGTATACTTGCATACAAATGAACACTCGGAAAAAAATTAATCGATAATTTGGTTCGTATTAGTGAATTGTGTTATAAATATAATTGAAATTTATATTAGAGCATTTAGTTAAACCGATGCGTTTAGGAAATGATAAATTTGTCAACTCAAAACAAATAAATATTACTGAAATCGTTTTTACGTTTAGGGTTGGTTTTTGCAAAATTTTCTCATAAAAGTAAGTCATAAGTAAGGACATGTTACCTTTTTCACTTTCGTGTTCGTCACAGCTGGTGCACTCGGATGTAGACCGCAGCTCTTCTTCCGAACTCGAAAAGCTAATATGCTGCTGATGCGTGTGTAGACGTTCAGCGGGTACCGTATTGCCGAGCCTTTTGTGCTTACGTGGCACATTAGCACCGGTAACTCGACCTCCCATCTGCTTGTCCGCTGGTCCAAACTGGTGTGGTGTATGATGAACCCTTGATGATTGGTTCGATCCGTTTCTGTGCATTCCTTCCAATTGTCCGCCACGATAGTAATCTTCGCGAGACTACAAATACACAAACGACAAATATTAAAACAATTACAATCTCGACTCGTGTTATCTTTCAAAGTTTCTATTAATATATACATTTATTGTGTTATTAATAAATTTATTTCGAGTAATAGGGTAACTGATAAAATTTCTGAAAACCCCTCAATAAGTGAACGGCCAACAATATTACTTGAAATATTAACTCTTGAGCATCAAAGATGAGTAATTTTGTTAATTTTTGTGTGTGTGTGTATATATATATCATTTAAATATGCTCTGAGAAATCAAAATTTTGTTTATTTACAAGACTTTCTTGATTTTTTNATGCTCTGAGAAATCAAAATTTTGTTTATTTACAAGACTTTCTTGATTTTTTTTTAATTTAAATTAAACCTGATAGGTTTGTTTTTTATTCGATGTCACTGAAAGTATTACAATTTAATAGTAGATAAAATTACTAATTCCTTAATTGTACGTTAAATAAATGAGTTACCCTATTATGTATTTTTAATGTGATTAAATCTAATCACTCTTAACATTTCATATTATTAAAAGTACAAAAATAAATTATACATTATTAATGCATACCGGGCGGAAGTATTCATCGTGGGATCCAGAAAAACTGTGTTCCTGCTCCTTCCTACTGGACGGCTCTTGTTGGGAATATTGACGCCTGAGCTGACTATTCGACCGCTGTAAAAGTGGTACATTTTCTTTTTCCACGGCACTGTGTGCTCTTTCTAATTTAGGCCTTTTATCTGACATTAAACACGGGGATGTTCCATCAATTCGTCTAGACGGATCACTTCCCACGGTCATGCCATGGTTAATCCATTCCCCCGACTTACTGAGAAGCTCTTGTTTTTTCCGACACAATATGCAAACCCATATTACCTATAAGTATAATGTAATTATGTAACTAAATCAAAAACAAAGATATTTTTTATTTTTAAATCTTTTGTATGTTTGAGTGCTAGTTCTAAAAATAATATAAAATTTATATTATTTTTAGACTTAAATTTTATCTTATTTAATAAGATAAAATTTATGCTAGTTAGATTTTAAATTATTTAATTGATTACTAAAATTTAGCAAGTTGATTGATAAAAACCAGAAAGAGATGAATGGCATTAAGATGCTAAGTGATTTTGCATTTAAAATAAATACTAACTAAAACACTATAAACCGAAACTGCGTTTCTTTTCTTACAACTGACAAATAGAGAAATTTTTATAGTTTTAAATTACTAGATACGGATTCTGGGACTCCAGAGGTCTACGCTGTATTGTTTCTACCTAATTAATGAATATAAAACAAAACTCTTTTACCACTATATCATAACTGGTTATTTATTTAAAAAATATTTTTTCTGTTCATCAGGGAGTATTTCTTAAAAATGCACTGAATGATCATTAGCGATCAAATTGTACACCAAATCAAATTTCTCACGAAAATAAAATTTTTCCAAAATTAGCTTGTCTACCTTTGCATAAACCCTATCTATATAGTCTACAAATAATTGCCAAAAATAAGACTAGATAGTTTATCGACAAATTATAAATTATTTCAAAGCAGCGTCGTACATAATTCGTTAGTTAATTATTATCTCAATACAATGACTAAACAATAATCTAGTAGAGTTTTTATTTATAATCCTATCTGAAATGATCAAAAATAATTATAAGTAAATTAGAGTTAAAAGTATAAGCATGTAACATCCAGGCAAAACGATTAACAAGGTTTGAATTTCACACAATTTATAATAATTTTAATTTATTCTCAATAAGTTTAATTTTAGCTTCGATGCGAAGCTGAGAAGGTATTAATTTTACTATGATGTGTTTTTTTTTGCGTCTGTTACTATTGTTCTCAGCTCTCACCGAATCGATTTCATTCGACGATACGTCAAAATATCACAAATCGTATCTAGTCGAACACATTACCCTCAAAAATTGAAATAATTTCCCTCGTTCCCCGTAATTAGGGGAAACCTCCAAAAAAATTTGCTAATTGTCGACATTTTTTCAATTTTTTTTAATTAAAAACTGCCGTAACTTTTTTAAAAATGACCGAATCAATATATATATATATATTTTTTAGATACCTCAGGTATTTACCTATCTTTTGATATATTTTTGTGAACATTTGACCCTTCACCTGCCTACATGGGGGATTTAAAATGACAACTTTTTCAACTTAACTTATGAAAATGTTCCGGAAATACCGACACTTTTATATATACCTTAAATTAAAGCTAATGTAATATACTTTAATTTGAAAAAAAAAAATTTGACCTCTGGACTAGTCTTCACTGTGAAAATGGCTACCAAATGCTATTTTCGTGTGAAGTTGCCCAATTATACAATTAAATATACTAAACTTATATTATAGTTGCGCTATTTATAACTATAATATCAATTTGGAATCGCTATAATAATTAGCTGCATTGAGTAATAGTTGATTAAATTTTATTAATTTATTAAAAATTAACTAAAAATTATTTTTCGTAATATTAATCATATTTATAAGTTGGAGTAACTATTTAAAAGGTTATTCCAACTATTTAGTTTTTTCTAGTATTTTAAATTATAGTTAAATAATATACAGCTCGATTTATTGTTCATAATTGGTAAAAGGTTTAAAAAAACCACTATCATCAAAAAATAATTGAATTACAACGTCGTGCGTACTCGTGGTGCAAAAGGTTTAATAGGCTATAAAAATGTTATGACAATCGACCCTATTTATCTTGTCGGTAAGTACTAATCGTTAAATTTGACTCATTTTTATCAAAGTAAACGTGTATCTAATAGTCACTGAACACACAATAATATCCGTGTTCAGTATGCTCTATAAAATCGTTCATGTCAATCGAATGTACATCATTTTCTTTGTCGTGAAGTTCCAATCAGTATGATATATACAGAGTGTTCAGTAAGTAGAGAAACAGTTTCTATTGTTTTCATTGTTTGTAACAACTGATGTATTTCCTTACTTACTGAACGCACTCTGTATACAAGTATCAGGTGCGAACACGGCAAATATTTCACCAAAATTGAGTGTGTCTTAAAGCAAACAAAATCATCGTTTAGTCTTTGCAGTTTGTGCCGGAAAACGAATCGGAATCGCATTTACGTTAAGCAAATATCCTATAACGAGACGTAGGAAAATTTGTACTTTGACTTGGGATGTGGGTCGTCTGATGCTTTCGTTTACATAAATGGTGAAATACTAGTCGTCACCCAAAAGATTTTATGTATTTATTTGCTTACAAATAAACGTACAAACATTACGAACACGGCCCGCGACCGTGTTAGAGTTTGTGAAAAATTCAAGACATGCCTCTGTAGGCGTTTGGCGAGGGGAAATTAAACCGTTTAAAATATAGTCTATGAAATTGAAAAAATAAATAATACGGCGAGAAGATAGTAAACTAGCATACACGGCGACGGCAGGATCCGCCGTATACTTTTCATCCACAAAAGCCACACAGCTCTTTTGCGATCAATATAACATACGTCATGTCCCGGTATCCATGACGTCATTACTCCCACCCAAAAAGGGGCGGATAATTTTAAGTTGAATGCACCCTGTAACAGTCCACGTACATAAATGTAAGCGCCTCGCCGTTGCCGACGGCACCTTTGTATTAAACGCAACCTATATAACAGAGGAAATAAACTTTTCGTTATTTTCATTCGAACGCGTATACTAAATTACAGTCATTTCATAAAAAAAAGAATCCAAACCTCAAAGCTCGGTCCGATGTTTTCACGCCCTAAAACCGACAACAGAAATAACCTAGTAAGAAAATGAATTTGAATTATTTTTAATAATGCTGGAAATAGAAACAAACACAATACCATGTGTCCACATAGATAGTTTAATGAACAGACCTTGTCGTTCGTTTTAATATCTTTGACATTGAAAACGATAATTTAAGTATCCGATATAATGTCATCAAAGTACACGTCAGCTGCCAAGAACCGATAAAGATCATACAACAAAATGACAGCTCGAAGAATCGGAACCATGGGGAATTATCTATACACAAACACACATTTATGTATAAACTCATACATATATGTATGATTACAACATGCCGTTTACTGTAACATGGAAACGTAAGTAAAACGATCACATAAGAAAAGCGTCGCAAGTGCCAATATCTAGGTCAAAGGGTAGTACATCCTTACACCCTTGTCATATTTCATAATACAAGTCTACGCTGAACTTTCATCATAACAGTCCATAAAATAAGGTAACAATACTTAAATATCAGCTATATTATATTTATACTTAAACAGATCAGCCATAAAAATTAAAAATAATTGACTCGAATTTATTATAAAAAAAAGAAACCCTAGCACAGTGGAGATGCAGAATAGTTGGAACAGATATTTATGATATCCTAACAGTGATTAACAATACTACCACAAAAAACAACTCTATGCAAATATGTTAAATTTAACAGTAATTTGAATATTTTAAATTTTATATTTGTTATATCTCAAAATTTCACTCAAATATTAAATGCTCATTGAATAATTTGCTTTATCACTCAATACGCAATGGACATTTCTGTTATCTTATTACCTATACTTTTCTGCTAAACAATCAATTACTATTTTTTGGGAACATGAAATACATAAAACCTGTTTTTTACCGTTGTGTTTTTCTACATACTTATGACAGTATAGATTTTTTTTTTTATCAAAAAAAAAAGACGAATTTTTACAGATATCTTGCAATTTTTGGCTTCCTATACTTAATTTTTTCATTGGATTTTTATAAATAGCCAACCAAAAAAAATCTTATTGTTTTTAGTAAACCCAATTACGTTTTCATTAGAATTGATGTATTTTTTAAAAAAACTATAATAATTTCAAAATGTAGACTTTTTTTGAGGATTATGTTTTTTACAATTTTGTAATTTTGAGATATTTTTCTAAAATTAAGGGTTTTTCTTTTTTTAATTTTCGTGATGATCGGTCAAACTAAAATGAAATCGAATTCCTTTAATATATTTATCATTAAAATCGGTCTAGTGAGAGCTGAGAATTGTTATGGTTAGACACAAAAGAACGCACACAATCACAATGCCTTCTCAGCTTCGCATTGTGGTTAAAATCTGTGAACACTCATACTCTCTAGATCACATACAATACTTGTCGGGCACATTAAGCATTAAAGTTGAATGTGAATAACTTAATGTACACTTTCGAGTATAAAACGATTTTTTCAATATATTTAATGATTATATCATTTCATTCTTTACACCATAATACTGTAAGGTACCGAAACTCTTCAGTATAAGTATTTTTTGTACGAATGATTAAATTTTATAATAATCGTAATATTTAAGTAGGATTATTTATGCGGTTGTTAAAAAACCGATTATTAAAGTGGATTTTCTCAATAGAATGCCACTTCTCGCAAATTCTGACGTCAACTGAATAATAAAAAAAAAAACAACACGAAAGATACTCTTTAGACATTATTGCAAAAACAAATTTATTCGAATAAAAACAAAAGAAAAAAAACATCTAATTTACTGAGTCGTATAAATTTTAAGAAGTACATATTACGTAAAAAATAAAAAAATAAGATACCTCATGTTATAATCAAAATCGATATGTAACATCGCAGCCTATCTGTACTAACATTTCATACATTTTGAATCATAATAAATTAGTCATAATCTATTGATTTTGTTACTGTATTTCATACATTATCATAACCTTGTATTTATTTATTTATTCCTAGAAACAAACCATTGTAAATAGTAAGTTCATTAAAAGAAAAAAAAATTTTAAAGGTAGATTTTAGGGGTAACTTTTCAATATAAAATGGGAGCTTATTATTTTTTACTATTAAATGAAGAATGGCATATA